CACAGTTGGCACTACTGTTAGGGCGTATGCAGCCAGGTGGGTTCCATGTCCGCAGCTATCTACAGGTATTTCAGTGTGCATCTCTAAAAGAAAAGGACTCTTATGAACCACAACACCAGTTTCATACCTATAAAACTTAATGGTAATTATTTTAATGTCATCAAATATTTAGTCAGTTTTTACATTTCCCCAATTATCTTTCAGTTTCATTTTGTTTTGTTTCCCCTACCATTGGTGTATTTGAGTCAGGATCCAAACAAGATTGATCTGTCTCCTATGGTTCTTTTAACTGATGGATTCTTCTTTTTTAACCCCTTGAGATTTGTTATTGCGGGAACTAGACAGTTTGTCCTGTAGTTTCCCACATTTTAGGTTTTACTGAATTGTGGGTAAACATATTCCTCTGTCTCTCTGTGTTTCCTATACACTCATGGGTAGATCTAGAGGCTTGATCTGATTTGGGTTCTCTTTCTCTCCTTTTTTCCTTTTTGATGAGGTGGTGTGTGATTTCGTCAGGAGATACTTAATATCTCTTTGTCTCTCTTGGTATGCCAGCTTTTGAAGGGATCTCCTGGCATGGTCCTTAAGATTTTCCAAATTCTTTTCCCCTGGATTCTAATGTCCATCCAGCCCTACCCTGTCTGTTGACCTCCATAAAGCAGCATTGCACTGTATTGATTACCACTGGGTGCTTTGAACAGAACAGAGGGGCACAGTCCCATAACCAAAGAAGAGTGTTTGCTGATTGCTGAAGTTAGCATGAGCTCAGGACTTTGGCTTTCTTGGTGGAACTAAGCTCTCTTGCCAGCGGAATATTTTCATTATATATGTTCCATTTGGTTGTAATTGAATCTGACTTCCTCTAGCCATGCTCTAAGTTTGCTCTTTTTTCTGCCCCTGCCTATGATTTTCTCAAATCTTTGATTCCTAGAGACTGGTGGGCCTGTAAGGCCTGGCTGGTGTGCTTGTGGGAGGCATGGCTTTTTACTAACATGTAATAGGAAGGAAACCAAGGTAGAGTCTCCCTTGGGAGCCCTATTTCTGGAAGACACTGCCATTGCCTTGGCCCAAGCCACCATCTGCTCCTACTTGGAATATTGCAGTGATCTCCTACCTGGTCTTGTCTGCTTCAGCCTTTGCTTCTCTTGCAGCTGGAGTGATTGTATTACTATGGGAGCCACGTCCCTCCCTTGCTCAAAACCCTCTAATGGGCTCCGATCTCACACAGAGTGAACATCACAGACCTTGGCAGGGCCGAGGTCTTCCTTGTGGGCTCTAATTACTGACTGTCCTCGCCTGCTGTTCCTCTCTTCCTTTGTTCCCTCCAGCCATTCCTCACACCTGCTAGGCATGCTCTCACCTCGGCCTCTGCTTCCTTCTCTCTCTGCCTAGAATCTTCTTCTAGATACTACTGATATGGCTCCCCTGCCTCATCCTTCTTTAAATCTGCTCAGTTGTCATCTTCCCAGCAAGACTTTCTCACCACCCCAAACCCCCCTCCCACCTCTGGCACTCCACACCCTTGCCTCGTTTTATTTTTTTTCTGTTACATCTGCAGCTTCCCAACAGATTACGCCATTTACTTAAAAAAGAAAAACCCATTGCTTATTGCCTGTTTCTCTCAACTAGAAATTAACAGTTAGAAGCACAGATTTTTTTTGGTCTGTGTCATTTCTGCTGACTCTCCACAACTAGAATACTAGATGCTCAATACTGCAGGACCTCAGACAGAGCAAGGCTGGTGAGGCTGGGAGTAGCTGGTGAGCTCCTCTGCTAAATCTGATTCTAGTTATGGAAATAAACCTACTACACCCAATTTTTCATTGGTGTCTTGATTTCTGAGCAGTGCCTCAAAAGGCAGTAGGAAGACAAGTTTGCAGAGAAAGGCCCTTTGTAGAGTTGTCCGAGTTGGCTGTAGTGAAACCTGAGGGCCCCAGAGGCAAGGTGCCTAATGCTGCTATTTATAACTAAGATTCCAGTGTATGTTTTCCAGCCACACTTACTCCTTTCAGCCTCCCCTGTATGCTCAAGTCTGTCACTCAATTAACTAATGGCGTCTTTAGTCCCATTATGCATTGTAGGGCTCCCCTGGCTCAGTTCTTTTTTTAAAAGAGAATAATGGGGTGTTCTGTTCTCAGAGGTTTAATTTTTTAATAGCCTTGCCAATTAAATGAAAACCTTTTTTCAACTTTTTATTATGAAATTTTCAAACATACAAAAAAAAAAAGAATGGAAAGAGTAACACAACGAACACCCAGATGCCCTCCCTCCACGTAGGCCCGACCCTTTTTAACATTTTGCCTCATTTTTTAAACCAGCACGTTTTAGCCCGTGGGTGTGGGCATTTTTCCCTGAACCGTTTGAAGGTAAATTGCAGATATCATGGCACTTTAGTCCTAAAAACTTCAGCCTGTTCTCCTATAAATCCATTTAAGACTAAGTGCTGATATCATCCTAATTTTCTCTTGAATCTCACAAGAAAAAGAACATTTATATGTAAAACCATAGTGCCTTTATGGAACCTAAGAAAATTAACAGTAATTTCAGAGATGGTGTAATACCCAGTCTGGATGCAGTTTTCTGCAAGACTGTTTTTTTCAAGCCCAGGGTTAGTCAAATTCACACATAATATTTGAGTTATGTTTCTTTAATTATTAGGAGAATCTCTTTCCATTTCTAAAGAACAAAATGTATTTAATAACATTTTAATAATTTTTTTTAGTGTTTTTAAAAAGAGAGAGAGGAACATTGCTTTTTTTCCTGCTTATTCATGCATTCATTGATTGGTTCTTGTATGTGCCCTGACTGGGGATCAAACCTGCAACCTTGGTGTATTGGGATGACTCTCTAACTAACCAGTGGAGCTACCCAGCCAGGGCTGATGCTATTCGAAGACTCCAGGACAGTTACCATATAGTGGTTTGTCCCTGTGATGGTTATGTAGCTTTCCTGGAAAGATTTTGTGGAGTTTGTTGCCACAACCTGGAAAAGGCTCAGAAAGGTCAAAAGAATAACCGACTATAGAATGAACAAGTTAGACCAAGAGAAACTGGGACTCTTCAGCCTAAAAACAGGGAAGTCAACAGGAGATGATAGAAATAACAGTGTATTAGCACCTTCCTGGGTGCTATTTATTTCTTTACAAGTATCTTCCCGCCCCCTGTTCTCTAGGGAGACCGGTGGTCATACGAAGTCATTTGTGTCGTGCTGCACAGCTGTGGGGTAGCAGGACTGAGGCTGAGCCCAGTCTGCCTGGATGGCTCCTGCCCTCCACCTCTGTGCTCTACTCCCTGCTCGGGACTTCGGCACGGAACCTCAGAATAATAGAGTCGGGAGCCACTCCTAGACTTTCTTTTTTTAAAACAGTAATAAACATTTATTATCTCACAGTTTCAGTGGGTCAGGATTTGGGAGTGGCTTCTCTGGGTGGTCAGGCCTGGGATCTCTCAGGAGGTTGCTGTCGATTTGTTGGCTGGGCCACAGTTCTCTGAAGGCTGGACCAGGGCTGGGGGCTTCAGTCCCTGGGGGGAAAGTGGTGTCGGGGGTCATCAGACCTCAGTTCTCCCTCTACCCCAACCACTCGTAGACTTTTGAAGGAACTTGTTTTTAGATTATCTGTTATTTTATAGAAATATTTGGAATTCACTAGGCCCCTCACTGAAACTGACTGAAAAGAGCAACAGACTCAGAAAGATTTGGAAAGATCCTTTATAGGGAAGGGAGGTTAAGGGAGGGGTGAGATGCTTAGGAGAACGAAAAAGCCTGAAGGGTAACTGGTTTCTACTTTATTATAATAGATCCTTGAATTGACCCAGACTTTTTTTTTTGCTAAGTTTAAAGGGTTTTTATCTGTTTTTTGGAGAGATTTGGGGTAGGCTTTTCTGTGTGGGAGGTTGTTTCTAGGAAGTGCTTGCTAATCTTGTTCTAGAAATCCAGTGAGATAGCTTATAACAATACAGTCACAACTAAGAGATAAAACTGAGTGGTAGGTGAGGAGGGAGGTTGGAGTATGTGGCACTTGCCTGGTCTGGCTTTGTAAGGTGTGGGGGAGGCATGGAAGGACTGCACACCCTTTGGAAATCTTCATAAACACTGCTCTTTTGGTAATTATCGAACAGCCCTAAACGAGGTTACAGCTCCCAAGCAGTGACTGGCTGGAAGCTATCTGTGTGGCCAAGTTTGGTGGTGGGAGTCGGGGGTGTGCGTGTGGCAGTTCCCAGCCCACCTAGGGTTCGGGGCTTCTGCGTGGTGCCAGTTTGTTCTGTTTTCCTGCTGTGGTTCCCCAGCTCCTCTTGCTTGCCCACGGGGCTGACTTGACCTAGTGTTCTGGGGACTGTGTGAATCTGAGCTGCCTGCCCACCTCAGTCACAGAGCCAGGTGTCGACTGGTCTCGCCTTCCGGGACTAACCCAGGGCCGTGAGACTCTGTGGCTGACTCACTTGTATTACAGTTGTATTGCTTAAAAACTTTTTCCTTATTTCAAAATGAAACATTTTCAGGGTTGAAAACAGCAACACTTTTTAACACAAGTAAGAAAAGAATAAGCCCCTGAAATCCTTCATCCAGAGATGACTCCTGGTGAAATTTCCTCAGGGTCCCCTAACCTGTTTCTTTCCTTTTTGCCACTATTTTTTATATGGGTAGGGGGATGCCGCCTGACAGGACTGGTTCTTCCTCTGTTATGCCATCAGTATCTCTCCTTATTTTATGGCCCCGCAAGTATAAGCAAACAAATAAGTAATGTAGGTGTTAGGTAGTTAACCTAATAATCTAAAATGTTTAGAAGAGTACAGCCTTCCTTATGAACCTTATACAACAGTGATGACAATTAGACAACTATTCCTTCCTTTCTTTTTCCCATGCCCCAAGACAGATTTGAAGATGCAGAAAAACGTTGCTAGGGGAGTTGGAGTAGGTGAAGTGTGAGCTTATAAGTTACACAGTCTTAACTCCGGGTGCATTTGCTTTCTTCCATTCATGTTGCCTTTTGTGTCCAACAGTGGAGAACACACAGCTGACCCTGAACCTGCAGACGGAGAACAAAGGCGGTGTTGTCTCAGGCGGTGAGCTGACAATTTTCCTGGACGGGCCGACTGTTGATCTGGGAAGTGTGCCTAATGGCAGTGCCGTGACAGACGGTGAGTGCTGCCCTGCTCCCAGGGGTGGGGTGGGGAGTAGAGGAGGTGTCCAGGGTTTGGTTCTGTACCAGGTCCCTGGGTTTGGGTACAGCTCAGCCGGCCCTGGCCATAGCTACCCTTGATTCTTTTTAGCATCCATAGCATGATCAAAATCATGACATGATTTTACAAGGACAGCTTTCTGATAAAGGACCAAAGTAAATGTCAAGTCTGTGTAAGCACTGCTTGATTTGAGAGCTGAGAAAAACACCTTTTCATCCCACATGGGCTTTGGAAAATAAGATGTCTTTATTAAATGTTACTGGGCCCATTTTTCTTCATCCCAGTACAGTTAACCTTCCTAGGGAGCTTGAAGGTGTCTTTTATGAGATGGTATTGGTTGGGAAAGGGGACTCTGTGTCTTAAGAGATTCGCACTAGCAAAATATATACAGAAGCAGGAAATTTGGAGTGTTTCCCGCTATGTCCTGAATGTGGGCTGTTTGTTTTTTGATCTAGTTTCAAATTAGTCACCTTTGGATCTAGCAGGAAATTATTTCATGAAGTCTGAGATGGGTTGGGTTTCTCCATAATTTTTCTTGTTAAATGTGATGTAATTAAGGTACTTTCCAGGCCCGAAACAGGCTTGCTATACCTTCAAGGGAGTGAAATTTGAATTCTAATTCAAGGGCACTCAGTGAATGGTGGGGCCTTGACTTGAGATTCCTCCCTTACCTGGATTGGGTGGTGCTTGGGTATGTTTGGTGCATGGAGAAAAACAGCACCTGTATAGATAACTGAGTACTGAGTATGTGCTAGATCTTCGACCAGGTGCTAGCTAGATGGCAGGGGCAAAATTCACATGGTGTCTCCTCCTAGGAGCTTCTAATTTACTTGGTGGGGCAGGGGATGCCAGACATCAAACAAGTAAACACACAAGTAATTGTGTAATTATAATGGCGATAAAAGCTATCGAGGAAAGGTAGTGGTTGGTATAAGATTCGTGTACTTTAGGGGGTCTCATCTAAATCAGAAGGGCAGGGAAAATTTCTTTGAGGAAGCTGATACCTGCTGGAGTATAAGGAGTTGAAACAGGCCAAGGTGGGAGTGTGGGTCAGGGGTGGCTGGGTCAGAGGTGGAGGGTCCCATGTGCAAGGGCTCTGAGGTGGGAGTGAGCTTGGCCTGTGGTAGGAACAGGGCTGAGTTGTGGGGAGCAAGGAGAGTGGTGGGAGGTGAGGCCACCGAGGCAGGTCGGCTCAGATCACACAGCCTTGAAGACCTTCATAAGGATTTTGAACCCCATCCTAAGAAGCAGGAAGCTGTCAAAAGGTTTTTAGCAGAATTGTATCATGATTTGATTTTAACTGAGTCTGATTTGGCTTTTTAAAAGTTGTGATAGGAGAAATGCCCCAATTGCTTGCCCCAACTTTGTGTGGTCAGCATCTGTTCTCTGTGCCATGTGGTTGGTTGAGGTTGATCTGATGTGGAAGGTGACAAGCTAGTAAGTGCCTTAGACATTCCTGGAGGTCTTAGAGAAGAAAAGCTGTTTCCCAGGTTTGAGCCCCTCTGATTTGCGGCCCTAATCAGATCTCACCTGGCTGCGGTGCCAGTTCCTTCTCGCGCTGCTTGCTTGACTGTCTGTGTCCCCTGCATAGTGGGTCACTAATACATAGGTGAGCTCTGTTCCCATAGCCACATCGCAAGCAAGGGCTGAGCTTCTCAACCTTTGTCTTTTCTTGTGACGGACCCCCTTTCCAGGATCGCAGCCGTCTTCGAGAGAATCCAGTGGGACAGCTGTCACTCCAGAGAATCGGCACCAGCCCCCCAGCACAAACTGCTTTGGAGGGAGATCCCGGTAAGAACCCCGTGGATGAGGAGGAGCCTGGAAGATGCTTAGAGCCAATGAAAACACGCTGGCAAGTGGCGAGGAATACTTTATGTGAGAAACTGGTGGAAATTTCCGGAGAGCTTGTAACTGACTCAGTGTGCGCAGGAGGCCCAAAGAGTAATACAAAACTCAGGATTCTCGGAAGGGTCAGGGGTTGCTTGTCAAAGATCAGGACTGGCTAGGTTGGTTATTTGGATAAACGGAGCTGCTGAACAGAACTGGACTGCTTTCTATGCATCAGGTGCAGCGGCCACAGCTACCCTTCCAGGATACACACAGAAATGCTTAGTGCAGTGCTTCTTCGAATGTGACGTTTTCTGTCTGTCTGTTTCTACTTTGGGGGCTGATCCATGGTTCTCTTTGGTATGTTGGCTAGGACCTCCGTACTTAGAGTCTGAGTTGTATTATATATGTTATACGTATCATGGATGACTTCATTTTATTTACTGATGTTCCTATCTTACGCCTGTGTTAATGGTGCTAATAAGGTGTTAACCTTATTCTCGTGGCAACTGAATTCGCAGGCAGGAGAGTAGTTTTAGGTATATTAGGGAGATGGGGAGGGGGTTGGAAACCTGTTTTTATTGTTTATTACAATGTACAAAAGTCCCAGGAAGTTTAAGGAGAAGAATCATATGAATGAACTTGTAAATTTTTAAAATTTGTGGAGAGTAGGTGTATGATTGGTAAAATCTTCCCAAACAAAACCCAGGGCGTGGAGGAAAGCACTTGGAGACACAGTGTGACCTCGGCCGATACCCACAGCATCTGGAAGGGCTCCTCTGAGGATAGCCATCAGTCTCTCAGGATTTGGTTGTTCTGAGGATTTGTGAGGTTTCGGTGTTTGGAGCAATAGAGGGTTGGGTGTTTGGATCTTTTGTCTCTAGCATCATTAGAAGCCAAGGTGCTGTTTTCCTGTCGTCTTTTCTCCAAGCCTCTGCAAAAGTGTCACCTTGCACTCTAAAGACCAGTTACCCATTTCTGTGACTTGCTGGGTGACTTGCAGGTTGGGACAAATAGTCAAGTCTCACAGCGTAAGAACTGACACTACCTGACAAGTCTGTGTCCACCAAAAAATAGTAGATACCTGGAACTAGAGAAAACAAAGTCTTCAGTGGCGAGTGGCTGGCAAAGAGGGACACCTCAGCACTTCACTCTCTGAGAATGATGCTTCTTAGCTTTGCACTAACCACCCTCTTGGCCTTTAGCTGACTTGGAAAGTTTGTGTCAAACAACTGATACTTATGTGGAGCTGGAAGGCAGAGTGCAGCGTTTAACAAGTGTGGACTTCAGTTCTTGACCTATTTTATTGTTCTCTGAAGTTCTCTAGTTGAAAGACCTAGAAATCTGTCCACGGTAAGGCGATAGCCCTTCTTTGTTATTGTTTGTGTTGATGATTGGTGACTGCTAAAGCAGCAGCCAGACTTCGACAGAAAACTGCATGCATTTTTGCCACCACACACAGTAGACATTCAGTGCTAGTTAATTGTTGGCGGGCAAAGTATCTTCCAGCTCTTCAAACCACATGGGAGTCCTCCTCCATCCTCCTGGCCACTGCAGCTTTTTCATGCATGGCCTCGAGTGTTCACAGGCCTCGGCCATCTAAGTATTTATTCTGTGGTCACACAGAACCTGCTGCCATTCAGTAGCAAATGCTTTTGAAAGTATCACCTGAAGGAAGTATCTTCTGTGTCCCTAAGAACCCCTTTCCCCATTGCCACTGGTCAGTGTGCACACGCAGGTGGTAGCAGAGCGGTCGACTTGAGTTCTCCCAGTACAGCTTGCTGTGTCGATGCTCGACAAGTCACTAAGCCTCTTCGTGCATCGGTTTTCTCAGGTCTTGCACACTGGGAGTGCTCAGGGAAAGTGGTGGGGGTTTCTTTGCTCTGGAGACTGTCTTTTGCACCCCTCCTCCCACTCCCCTAACCTGAGAAATGTGACATTACTGGTGCATTCACATCAGTTAAGAGGGTGATGAATCAAACCTTCAGGATTCAAGGACAATCCTCTGCTGTCCTTGGGTGCTGGGGCAGAGAGAATGATGGGTTTCTGTCTGCTGCCTCCCAGACTAAATATTTATCTTTCACTGTCTGAAGGGTAGGTTTTTCTTGGACTTGGGTGCTATTCACCATGATCAAAGGTGCTAACATGCCCGTGAAGGTGAAGATTGCAATGACAAAGCAGCCTTTTCCTCTCCTTTTCCACTGTGTTATTAAGCCATGGAACCGGAACTGTGTAAGGGTTTTATCTTAGGGGTTCATCTACCCAAGGTCATCCAGCAAAGGCACCTTTTGGTTGCCAATCAAAGCCTCGCAGCTCCGTCTCTCAGTGAGATCTTGCCAACTCCTTAAGAATAATTGAGTGAGCACTGGCTGGTGTGGCTCAGTTTGAGGCTCTGCCGGCCTGTGAACCAAAATGTCGCTGGTTCAATTCCCAGTCAGGGCACATGCTTGGGTTGCAGGCCAGGTCCCTGGTTGGAGATGTATGAGAGGCAACCAATTGATGTTTCCCTCTCACATCGATATTTCTCTCCCTCTCTTTCTCCCTCCCTTTCCCTCTCTCTAAAAATAAAAATCTTAAAAAAAAAGAATAATTGGGTGAAACAGCTGTACTTATTTTATCATCTGGTCTGCCACATGGAAACCAGCGTGGGCTTGCCACCAAGAATTCATATGGCATAAATGTATTTGCAGACAGACTGTATTAGCACATAGTCAGTGAGTCTGGTTGATTAAAGAAAGAGTTAACATCAAAGTTGTTGTATAGTCTTTCATATAATGAAGCATTGACCCTGTGAAAATGAGAGAATGATAGTTACATTAATATGTTGGAATCTCAGAAACATAACATTGACCCAGAGAAGCAGGTCACACACACACAAAATACAGTATGATGTAATTTATATAAAGCTTAAAAACGTAAAATTAGGTCATATATGTTTTTTATTAATGTGACTTCATAGTTAGTAAAACTATAAAAAATAGAAGGGGTTAATTAACGCTGAATTCAGGAGAATGGTTATCACGGGGGAGATGGAAATGGGTGTAATGAGGAAAAAGCACACAGAAACTTCTGAGTGCTGGGAATGTTACCATAATTGTTAGCCTGGGTAGGTCCCCGAGTGTTCATCTCATTGTTTCTTTAAACTGAATGAATACAGGGTTGGCAGAAGTAACGCCTGCTTGAGTGTGGTTGGTGGGGTAATAGTATGAGTGTAATAACTAATAGTTTTCATTTGAACATTTCACCTAAAATGTCATATGGTGTGCTTGAGTGTGATATTGTTATTTTACAGAATTACGTGCTTGTGATTTTGTAATAAAAGATTTTGTAATAAAAAGGGGCGTTATTTGTGCCGGACCCTGTATATTTAATACAGTCTTTTATTTACGTGGTACATTTCACAGTAAAAATAAAAAAAAGTGTCACATACTCACAGAAAACTGAACTGTCATGGAGAAAGTGTTTGCTGTCGAGGCAGACAGATTTCAGAATCTAGGATTTCTCCAGCCTCGATAATGACCACTTACTTCTATTTCGCCCAGTTTATGTATGTAGCAGTGTAGCTGATGATTTTAAGTGGGTGCTCCACATTGGCCTTGTGTTCTCATCACTTAGGAATCTCGGGCCTGAGGATTTAGTTTGGGAAGTAGGGGAATGTTCCAGATGAAAGCTGGTCGCTGCCAGGTCATGTGTTAGCACAGCACTAAACTTGGTGGCCTGACGGGGTTGGCTCACACCATCTGGTGTTTGATTGGAGTGGGTCGAGGCTGTGGCATACCAAGGGTTCTGTTAGTGTGCCACCCTGCCCTGTGTCCTCAGCCAGCGTGCCTCATTCCAGTAGTGGAGAGTGCCCAGGGTGTCACGGGGCCCCTGGGGAGAGTGTGTGCTCGTTGGCATGGGGAATACCTACCACACCCTTTTATAATCCCCCTGTGCTTGTTTTCTTTTGCCAGAATGAGGGCTGGCTTTGGGAACCACACCTAAGTCAGTGCAGGTTTTGAAGATCTAATAGTGTGTGCCTGGTAGGGTGCATACACTGCACAGGGCTTGCCTGAAGCACTTTCCACAGCCATTCAGTGTCGTATACGCAGGGCGTATATGAATCAGGCACATGAAACTGTCAGTGCTGGGGGAGCTCAGAGAGAGAGAAAATCAGTGGAGAGGGACACGCTGAGGGCAGAGTGGGGTGCGAGTTTGCAAAGAGACTGTTTTCCGTTGTCTGTTGTTCAGCACAGACCTTAGGGATTAGTTGAGGCAGCTAACTCAAGAACGAGGGAAGCTAAAATAGGGTGTACGTGGAGGGGCAGAGATCCCAGCACAGGGTATCCACACTGGTGCTGGCAGCTCTGTTCGGAGTAACTCTTGGTTAGAAATAGTTGTGAAATTCCAGACTGAAGAGTGGAAAGCCAGGATATCTGGGTCCCGCTGCCCTTTGTTGATTCTTTGCCACCTGTGATTTTGTCCTCATCCCCAGCTATTTATGTGAAAGCAGAGGGTGAAGGTGAAATCAACTAACAGGTGGAACCCGTAGGACTGTCTTCTAGTGACGCTGCTCTTCCAAGCTCAGCCTTAGAGATTTCTTCAGACTTGAGTAATTAGCTTCTCAGTCTAAAATCTCCATAGACTTTCCAAAGTCATATGGGGAAATGATACAAAAAAGTAAAAGAATGCATTGAATTTGCTTCTAGGTTCATAAAGTTTTTCATTAATAGGTCTAAAAACTGGAAGGGATCTAAGTAAAGCAGCTGTATGTAGGGACATAAGTGATTAATTTTTCTGTACGTATTTATTTTCTATAAGAGTATATGTGTGTGTGCATGTGTGTTTGGTGAAGGGCTGGAGGTCTTAAATTTGTCTACATTTATCATCAGCTCTGAGTTGGCCAGTGTTTGGTCAGAATCTGTGTTTTAACAAGCCTCACCACCTCCCCAACCCTGTGATTTTGTTAATGTGTAAAAGTTTCA